TAAAATAAATATCAAAAATAGAAGTCTTTGTTTTACTATGGTTGCAAATATCAAAAAATTTCTATATGTGACACGGCACCAGAGTTAAGTTAGGGTTTTTCAAAATGCTGACACGCCGAGCTCAAAAGGTTCGCCATCACTGGGCTGGAGTGTGGGCTCAACTCTGTCTCGACTGCTCTGGGCTCAGGTGTCCCACAACTCACACCACGGACTGCACCAGAAAAGAGCGTGAGACCCAGGTGAGGCCCCACCATCGGCTTTCTACTCTCCTGGCTCCCGGGCCTGCCTCACCCTCAGGCTGAGCTGGCTACCTCCTTGAGGCTCTGTAGTCACCTCTTCCATGGGACTCCTCTTTTCCAGTGTCATCATAGCCTGTCCTCAGTCCCCTGCCCCACAGCTGTCCATGGTTCTGAATGCAGGCAGGCAGTGGGGGGCTGGGGGCTCATAGTGACGAAGACCTGGGGTCAGGTCCTGGCTCTGGTCCCGCCACGCCTGAGACACTGGCTTTTACACAGACGAGATGGAGCGGGGGAATCCACGGTTCCCACTGTGACCCACCCACTTTGGGCCACGACAGAAGACCAGCCTTTTCTTGTTACCCTCATTCCTCATCATTCCCTGTTCCTCACTCGTGTTGTCTCATGGGGAGCCACTGTCAGAATCCAGTCAGTGCTTTGGGTGCCAGTGATGAGAACCAGGAAATCACAACAGGGGTGACTCCCGGGGTTGGGGGCTCAGCTCCTGCCCTAGGCGGTCCCCAAGCTCTTATCTCCTCTCTGCCTGACCCCTCCCTCGGACATCTGCCACTGAGACCCACGGGTCCGCCGGAGTGCGGGGCAGAGCCCGCCGCGGCCTGCACCCGAGCCATGTGCAGCCTCTCGGGGGGGCCACTGACAACTGGCCTCGACCTAAAGGGGTTCTCTGGGTTACATGATGGTCTCCAAATCATGACAGAAACCAGCATCACAGAGATTCCAGGACAGGACCCTCCCTCTTCCCCAAATAACTGTGGAAAGAATGTCAACCTCCTTAACCATCTCAGGGCCTAGATCCCCTCTGCCTCACCTTTGAGAGTCTCATAAAAGCTACTGATCCTCACCCTTAAAAAAGGACCATATATGCAAACTTTTGATTTTGATTTCTGGGGGTTCATGGGACCCCTGAAACCACACGAGACAATATGGACATCTGTGGACTCAGGCTAAGGACCAAGCTCTCTGTGTGCACACCTGACTTTGCCCTCTTATTCTGGATTCAGATTCTGCCCTCGTGGATTAAAAAAAACCTGTGGTATATATGTACCA